GGAGGCTGAATTACATCTCTGCTGGAGGACGAGGAGGTGAGACAATCTTTCGAGGTGTTCTTTCAGGCTCAGGAGATGGTGCTGGAATTTCTGCAACAGTAAGTCGGGAGTGGTGGGAGCTTTACTAAGGTGCGGATCAGCAGGTTTTTTCAAGGCCATAGGTAAGAAAAAGCAGCGTGATAAATAATATTGCCTACCAATGGTTACGGAGGAAGCTCGATCGCCTTGTTTCTAGCGGTGAGAGACTTTGGGGCAATCTCCGAGGTCAAACTTCTCCTCAGTAAATACCAGTATACGATTGGCGTGCCTCTTTGTTCTGGAAGTGATTATGGGAAGTACCCACTCGCCCGACCCTTTTCAGAATTACAAACAGGGTGCAGCGATTAGGGACGGTCTCTGCCTTGAGGGATAATACGGTTTCCCTGACAAGATCCAGGTCAGGGATCCTGGAGGTCTCTAGGGATTTTTACAAGGACTTACTGATGAGAAGTGCCTTAACTAGGGCAAGGATGTTGAGCTTCATTGGAATCTACACCAGGTTTGGAGAGTAATGTTCTGCCTACAAGTTGACAGGAGAAAATTACCGCAGATGAGGAGGTGACTAAGGCCATTGATAGTCCTGACCATAAGAAAACCCTGGGCCAGACGGTTAACAGCTTGAATTTTTAAGACCTTCAAATCTAGCCTGGTACCTCGCCCTAGCGGAGGTGTAATAATTGCTGTATATGAGTGAGGGGTCCCTCCCTCCCTCCATGAGGCAGTCTGCGGTGATTTTGCTGCAAAGGGTAAGGATCTTACTTCGTATTGAGAACTGGTGCCCCATTAGCCTTCTCAAATGTCGAAGATAAGGTTTTGGCTAAGATCTTGTTCTGGCGCTTGTCGTCAGTGGCAGAGGGTCTGCTTTCGCTCGTCAGCAGCATGCTCGGTCCAGGGCAGGAGTACCTTTACAGCAGGTGTTAGCTGTCGGGAGGCGCTGGAGCGTTGTAAGGCTGAAGGATGGGGGAAAGTTCTTTGCTGCAGTGGATCAGGCAAAGGCCTTTGATCGTGTCAACCATGAGTACCTCTGGTGTCTCCTTGACCGGTACGGCTTGGAAGGGAGGTTTATTGGCTGGTTAAAAACATTATATAGGGGAGGCTGAAGCTTCATGTTGGTGAATGGCTGAGTTTGGGCAGCCTTTTGGGGTTGGATCCGGGGTGCGCCAGGGGTGCCCTCTGAGCCCCTTGCTCTACGTCTTTGCCAATTGACTCCCCTTCGTCAGGAGGCTAGATGGTGGAGCGTGGGCGGGGTGCCAGGGGTGCCTGCTGGGAGATCCGCACCCTGAAGGTTGTCAGCTTATGCTGATGACGTTTCTGTTTTCATCTCTGGGTCTGAGGAGGCGCAGGAGGTGGTCTCTCAGTGATAGAACATCGTTTGGCCGAGGCGTCTCTGGCTCAAGGTCCAACCAGGACAAATGTGAAGTTCTCTGATGGGTAGAGAGGGTGAGAGCTTCTCGCTCCCGGACACCTTCCCGGTGCCCAGCCAAGCATAAAAATTTTGTGGCCATCAATTTTGGCCATGCCGAATTATGGCAAGCTAAACTGGGAAGCCAAGCTGTCTGATGCAGAGGTCAAGGTCAGATGCTGGATAGGGGTGGGGCTCTCCTTGAGGGAAAGGGTTGATCTGATCAAAGACTTTCCTGATTCCGGTATATCTGTATGTCAGTTACATCTGTCTACTTGCCAGAATCACTCTATACGAGGGTTTACAATACAGCTGTTTCTTCCAGATGTTATGGGAAATAGGCTAACACCTTGTTAAACGGAACGAAACTTATTCATCCAGGCGGGAGGGTGGCCTAGGTATGGTCAACCCATTAGTTTTTTTTCTCTCTGATGTTATCTTGAACAAACTTTGGCAGCATGTTGGCAGAGAGACCGCCTGCATGGGTAGGAACTTTTTCGTGCCTGGTTTGGACCCTTCCTGAACAGTTGGGAGGAGTGGCGGGCCAGTGAGAAGCCTTGCGTGTCAAGCCACTGTAAGCTCCCGGCTTACGTGGCCTGAAGGATACTCCGGCGGTGGCAATGTGACGGCGGAGGAGGTCAGGTCCCCTCCCTAGGAAACACCTGTGTGAGGGAGGTCCCCCCCCCCCCCCTCCCCCCCCCCCCCCCCTCCCTCCCCCCCCCCCCCCCCCCCCCCCCCCCCCCCCACCCCCCCCCCCCCCCCCCCCCCCCCCCCCCGGAGGATTGTGGCTTCACCGCTTTTCCATGCCTCATTGGCCCTGAAGAGGATTGCCCAGGCCATATCATAGGTAGGGTTTGCGTTTATTAAATCTGGAGCGGATCCCCTGTAGTTTGAGGGACCAGGCACTGGCTCGGCTTCCATGGCAGGCTTTACGTAAGGGCAACCTGAAGTGCCGCTCTCATCTGGATGAACCGTGGTTGTCCGAGGGCTGGAGTGTGGGGTGTGAAGTGGAGAGTAATGGACCCACGTCTTTGCTTCAGTGCCCCTTTAACCATTGAAGTGTACAAAGAGAGTGGGTGGAGCTTTGGGTGTCTCTTTTCCTCCACTGCATGTCTTAAAGCGGAGTGGGGTGTTATGGAGCATTTGAAAGCAGCTCGTGTTTTGATTTAGGACATACCTTGTTTTCAAGTTAGTTTAGTGGGTCCGTTATTACAACGTGGAATGGGCACGGTGTCAGGTTTTATCCATTCGGAAAAAAAGTCCACCCTGTCCAGGTTGTGGTGTGTTTCATTCTTGGGTCTGAGGTTGGGAAAATTCGGGGTCTTGAGAAAGACCGGTGGCGGCGAAAGGACTGGAGGCGGTGGAGGAACATCAGGCCTGTAACTGCTTGCATGTTGATCTCCGTTGGTGGTAGCTATCCCTGTTTCTTCTCTTTGCACCCCCCTTTAAGGATTTTTCGTAGTTTGAGGATTTGTTTTATTGAAGAAAGGTTGCAGGTACTGAGGGTCTGTGTTATTTTAGTCTTCCTCTTGGAGTTTTGTATTTGTATCTTGGTGGGTTCTTGGTTGAGTCTTGGATTTAGGTCCGTAAAGGCCTTTTGCAGCAAGAAGGTTGGAAATTGTATTTGAATCCTTTTGGGTTTGGCCATATAGGCCATAGAGGCCCTTGTGTATCGCGTGGTGGGGGCATTGGGCCTGTTGTCCTGCTTTGTGGGGCGTCGGGCCTGTTTTGTCTTCTCCATTGTCCCGTAATAGGTCTGGTTGTCATATTGTCCTTTTTCTTTGACAGGTTTATGGGACTATTATGTATGGGACTCTTATGTAATGGTCCATAGGTTCATATGGCCATATTCTACATATTTCTATCCCCAGGAAAGTTTCTGGTTTTCAGGTCAATGCAATGGTGGCTAAAAGTTTTGGCCATAAAGGCCTTATAGATACAGGTTGGGGGCATTGGGCCTGTTGTCCTGCTCAGTTGGGGTGTCGGGCCTGTTGTCTCGTCCATGACTATATAGATCTCTGGATGTTATATGCCTTCTTTGCAAGCGTTATGGACTCTTATGTTTGGGCCATTTAAAGCCATATGGTTTGCTGTTTCTTTTCCCCAGGAAATTCTGGACTTTTCAGTTATGCGGTAGTGATTATGTTTTTGTACTTATTTATTTATTTATTTGCAAATTTTTTTTGTACTTTTGTAAAAAAAGAGTTTAAGTTTGGGTGGTTTTGTAAGCTTACATTACAAAATAAAATATTTCCCACCACCATTGGCGAGTCCATTCCTGACCCAGGGGCGGACTGACAAAACTCATGGGGCCCCCGGGCAATAGGGGATCATGGGGCCCCTGTGTCCTTGCCCACACCCAAAAAAGCCTATGAAAAAGGTACCAGGGGCATCTCATGGGGCCCCCTACTGACCCCGGGCCCTCGGGCAGTGCCCGAGGTGCTCGGGAATGGTCAGTCCACCCCTGTTCCTGACAGTACCCCCCCCTCAAGGAGCTGGCCTCAGGATGCTCCAAACAGTCCTTAGTGGGCAAAATATGTTCCACCACCCGGGTCAGGTACCTGGCTGAATATCAGGGGCTGGCACATCAGGCTGGGCAGCGGACGGAGGCACATCAGACTGGGCAGCGGACGGAGGCACATCAGGCTGGGCAGCGGACGGAGGCACATCAGGCGAGGCAGCCGGCAGAGGCCCATCAGGCAAGGCAGCGGGCACCGGGCCATCAGGCAGGGCACCGGGCCATCAGGCGGGAGCAGCGGGGGCACCGGGCCATCAGGCGGAGCAGCGGGCACCGGGCCATCAGGTGAGGCAGCAGGCACCGGGCCATCAGGCGGAGAAGCTGCACCAGGCCATCAGGCGAGGCAGCGGGCACCGGGCCATAAGGCGAGGCAGCAGGCACCGGGCCATCAGGTGAGGCAGCGGTCACTGGGCCATCAGGCGGGGCAGCGGTCATCGGGTCATCAGGTGAGGCAGCAGGCCACCGGGGCCATCAGGTGGAGAAGCAGGCGCACCGGGGGGCATCAGGCGAGGCAGCATGCACCGGGCCATCAGGCGGAGCATCGGACACCGGGCCATCAGGCAAGGCAGCGGGCACTGGGCCATCAGGCGACGCAGCAGGCACCGGGCCATCAGGCGAGGCAGCAGGCACCGGGCCATCAGGCAGGGCAGCAGGCACCAGGCCATCAGGCGGAGCAGTGGGCACCGGGCCATCAGGTGAGGCAGCAGGCACCGGGCCATCAGGTGAGGCAGCGGTCACTGGGCCATCAGGCGGGGCAGCGGTCATCTGGTCATCAGGTGAGGCAGCAGGCACCGGGCCATCAGGCGGAGAAGCAGGCACCGGGGCATCAGGCGAGGCAGCATGCACTGGGCCATCAGGCGGAGCATCGGACACCGGGCCATCAGGCGAGGCAGCGGGCACTGGGCCATCAGGCGAGGCAGCAGGCACCGGGCCATCAGGCGAGGCAGCAGGCACCGGGCCATCAGGCAGGGCAGCAGGCACCAGGCCATCAGGCGGAGCAGCAGGCACCGGGCCATCAGGCGGAGCAGTGGGCACCGGGCCATCAGGTGAGGCAGCAGGCACCGGGCCATCAGGCGGAGAAGCAGGCACCGGGCCATCAGGCAAGGCAGCAGGCTCCAGGCCATCAGGTGAGGCAGCAGGCACCGAGGCCTCAAGCTCGACAGCGGGCACCGAGTCATCTGGCAGAACAGCAGGCACGAGTCATCTGGCAGAACAGCGGGCACCGAGTCACCAAGCTCGACAGCGGGCACCGGGTCATCTGGCACGACAGCGGGCACCAAGTCATCTGGCACGACAGCGGGCACCGAGTCATCTGGCACGATAGCGGGCACCGAGTCATCTGGTTCGACAGCGGGCAACGAGTCACAAAGCTCAACAGCGGGCACCGAGTCACCAAGCTCGACAGCGGGCACCGAGTCAACTGGCACGACAGCGGGCACCGAGTCAACTGGCACGACAGCGGGCACCAAGTCATCTGGCACAACAGCGGGCACCAAGTCATCTGGCACGAAAGCGGGCACCGAGTCATCTGGTTCGACAGTGGGCACCGAGTCACCAAGCTCAACAGCGGGCACCGAGTCACCAAGCTCGACAGCGGGCACCGAGTCAACTGGCATGACAGCGGGCACCGAGTCAACTGGCACGACAGCGGGCACCGAGTCAACTGGCACGACAGCAGGCACCGAGTCACCAAGCTCGAGAGTGGGCACCGAGGTACCAGGCCGGACCAGGTCGTCAGGCTGGATCGGGTCATCGGGCTGGATCACGAACACCAGGTCATCAGGCTGGATCAGGCCATCAGGCTGGATCGGGTCATCAGGCTGGAACGGGTCATCAAGCTGGATCGGGTCATCAGGCTGGATCGGGTCATCGGGCTGGACCGGGTCATCGGCTGGACCGGGTCATCGGGCCGGACCGGGTCATCGGGCTGGATCGGGTCATCGGGCTGGACCACGAACACCAGGTCATCAGGCTGGATCGGGTCATCAGGCTGGATCGAGTCATCGAGCTGGACCACGAACACCAGGTCATCAGGCTGGATCGGGTCATCAGGCTGGATCGGGTCATCAGGCTAGGTAGCGTATACCAGATCATCAAGCTGGATCGGGTCATCAGGCCGGATCTGGTCGTCAGGCCGGATCGGGTTGTCAGGCTGGGTAGCGTACACTGGGTCATCGGGCATCAGGGTATCAGGCTAATTTGCGGGCGCCGGGGCACCAGGCTGAACCTGGAAGGCGGGTTCTCAGACGGCAGGCTGATCAGTTTGGATACTGGCAAGATGGTACTGGTTGAAAGAATTTTCGTCTTTTCCTGGTTTTTAGATACTGGAGCACTGTAAGTAAGCGCAGGTTTGTAAACGGATAGAGCAGCTGTAGGCAGAGAAGAGCTGGGGGATGGAACAAAGGAGGGAGCAGTTGCTACAGAGGACTTCTTTACAGGGTTAAAGGCAGGATAGGTGCAGCGAGTGGGAGCAGGGGACTGACATGTGGTAGCTAGCAGGGTATACTGGGCTGTCATCGGGGGTGCTGTCGGGAGTGCAGGAAGAAAGCTTTGAGTAGGGGAATGATGAGAAGCAGGACTGGTTTGTTGCAAGCTGACTGAGGCTGGGTGTAACAAGTCTGGCCAGAACTGTAGTATGGGTTGAACACAACTCCGCTTACACATAGCCTGTCTGATCAAAGACTGCACTGCGTCTATACACTCCACTAGCACATGAGATGGACAAGCTGCATAATGCTCATGGAAGCAATCTGGATCCTCCTCCAACAACCATACCAGCGATTCCACTTGATTTGCACTGAATGGGGGAAAAAAAGTCATCCCTGCTTTCAGGGGTACTAGCTGAAGCCAACTCCACACAAGCCTGAATTAATGGTTGCACCTCAGAGAACTCTGTGCCCTGATCTACCAGGGAATGCGCGACCCCTATGCATTCTAGCAGCTGATCCCTGGTATACACCTGCAGAGTCTCATAGGCATATTCTTTGTCATCAAAGACTAGCAGACACAAGTATATAACCTCCTCCGGATGCATCCTTCACAACAATAAGCCAAGATGGCTTCCCTGTGCAGCCACTTCTGGTCAGGAATGGCCTTGGTGTAATGTCACGGATCCAGGTATGACCAGAGATGTGTGGACTGACACAGGGAAACAGCAGGCTTCAGAAATGATTAAATAATAATAATATTTATTATGAGCTGCACAAAATAAACAAACACAGTGCAAAACAAAACAAACCTTAAACTAATAGGTACAGGTGCAGTCAGGGCTGGAGAGGTGGAGTGGTCAGGCAGGCCGGGTCAGGAACAATCAGGCAGAAAGGTACAACGGGAGCAGGTAGAAGAATGGTCAGGAATAGCCGGGGTCAGTGCAGGCAGAGTTCTATCAGAGTCAGAGTCAAGCAGGAGAGTCGAGCAGGCAGGAGACAGGATACAGGAAACAGGGCACATGGGAAACAAACACCAAGGCACTGACTGCAGGTCTGGCCATTCCTTAAATACACCTCCTGCAATAAGCCTCAGGTGATGGCTGAATGCAGGAGTGAGCTTCTGGTTGCTGAGAGCACCCGCTGGCCAGCACTGGTACTGCAGCCCACAAGGCAGGTGAGTCCCACCACCATTGGCGAGTCCATTCCTGACACGGTGTCACAGCGTGTGACCGGAAAAAAGAAAAAAAACAAAAAACATTCCTCACTCAACGAGGCTTACTAGCCTTATGCAGTGATCGAGGGTGACATTTCTTATATAGGTAAGGGGCGGGGCCAGCCAGGGACATCAAGCATGTGATCCCACCCCATGTGACATCAACGGGGCGGGGTCACTCAGATGATGTCCCCGGCTGGCCCCCGCCCCTTACCTATATAAGAAATGTCACCCTCGATCACTGCATAAGGCTAGTAAGCCTCGTCGAGTGCGGAACGTTTTTTGTTTTTTTCTTTTTTCTGGTCGCCGTGATTGACGTTGGATCTACTTCTGGGGACATTGTTTTATTAAAGGACTTGTCAAAGATCCTGTACTGTGTTTTTTTTACACTACACTTTTGCTTTTTTTGTGAATGAGTAGTGGGACCATGTACCGCATACTCATTCACGTAGGGGGGGGGGGGGGGGCGGGTTAAAGGGGGCTTCCAGATTCTGATAAGTCCACCACCCGCAGACCCCCACAACCACCGGCCAGGGTTGTGGGGAAGAGGCCCTTGTCCCCATCAACATGGGGACAAGGGGCTTTGGGGGGAGACCCCCTGCCCCAAAGCACCCCCCCATGTTGAGGGCATGTGGCTTGGTATGGTTCAGGAGGGGGGGCACTCGCTCGTCCCCCCTTTCCTGACCTGCCGGGCTGCATGCTCGGATAAGGGTCTGGTATAGATTTTAGGGGGAACCCCACGCTGTTTTTTTTTTTTCATTTCGGCGTGGAGTTACCCCTTAATATCCATACCAGACCCGAAAGGGCTTGGTATGGATGGGAGGGGGGACCCCACGCAATTTTTTTTAATATTTATTAGTAATTACTTTTGTCCCTGCAGAGCTGCGCTATTATATTTGACATTAAAAAGTATAGAGGTTACAAAAATGTATCTATTTGTATCCATTTTGGATATACAGTAGTTTTTATTTGGATACAAATAGATACAATGTTGCAACCTCTATACTTTTTAATGTCAAATATAATAGCGCAGCTCTCTGTAGGGACAGAAGTAATTACTTTGCTATTATATTTGCCGGCCATAGACGGGACGAAAATCGGCCGATTTTTTTTTACCATTGGTGGCAATGTCGGCCGATTGAACAACCGATTTTTCATTTTTTTTTTTTAAACAGATGTTTTTTGACCCGTCTATGGCCTGCATTAATGTTTCAGCTGTCAGCGGGGTTCCCCACTGACAGCTGAATTTTAAATAATTTCCATCAATTAAATACAGTTGCAAGAAAAAGTATGTGAACCCATTGGGATTACGTGAATTAGGCATAAAATGTGCTCTGAACGTCATCTAAGTCACAACAATAGAAGAACACAGTCTGCTGAACATAATACTACACAAACATTAGATGTTGCCATGGTTTAATTGCACATAACATGTAAACATTCACAGTGCAGGGAGGAAAAAGTATGTGAGGCCCTAGCTTAATGACTTCTCCCAGAGCTAATTGGAGCCAGGAGTGAGCCAACCTTGACTCCAATCAGTGTGATGATATTGGATGTGTTGCTGACAGCTGTCCTGCCCTTAAAAAACACACACCTGTTTTGGGTTTACTGGTTTCAAGAAGCACTGTCTGATGTGAACCATGCCTCGCAGAAAAGAGCTCTCAGAAGACCTACGATCAAGAATTGTTGACTTGCATGAAGCTGGAAAGGGTTACAAAACTATCTCCAAAAGCCTTGATGTTCATGTGTCCACGGTAAGACAGACTATCTACAAATGGAGAAAGTTTAGCACTGTTGCTACTCTCCCTAGGCGTGGTCGTCCTGTAAAAATGACTGCAAGAGCACAGCGCAGAATGCTGTATGAGGTAAAGAAGAATCCCAGAGTGTCAGCTAAAGACCTACAGAAATCTCTGGCACATGCTAACATTTTTGTTGACACATCTACAATAAGGAAAACATTAAACAAGAATGGAGTACATGGGAGGACACCACGGAGGAAGCCATTGCTGTCCAAAAAGAATATTGCAGCACGTTTCAAGTTTGCAAAAGAGCACCTGGATGTTCCACAGCACTACTGGCAAAATATACTGTGGACAGATGAAACCAAGATTGAGTTGTTTGGGAAGAACACACAACACTATGTGTGGAGAAAAAAAGGCACAGCACACCAACATCAAAACCTCATCCCCACTGTAAAACATGGCGGAGGGAGCATTCATGGTTTGGGGCTGCTTTGCTGCCTCAGGGCCTGGACGGATTGTTGTCATTGATGGGAAAATGAATTCCAGAGTTTATCAAGACATTTTGCAGGAAAAACGTACGACCATCTGTCCGCCAACTGAAGCTCCGCAGAGGATGGGTGATGCAACAGGACAATGACCCAAAGCATACAAGTAATTAAACAAAACAATGGCTGCAACAGCACAGAATACGTCTTCTGGAGTGGCCCAGTCAGAGTCCTGACCTCAACCCAATTGAAATGCTGTGGCATGACCTTAAGAGAGCAATTTCACACCAGACATCCCAAGAATATTGCTACACTGAAACAGTTTTGTGAAGAGGAGTGGTCCAAAATTACTCCAGATCGTTGCACAGGTCTGATTTGCAACTACAGGAAACGTTTGGTTGAGGTTATTGCTGCCAAAGGAGGTTCAATCAGTTAATAAGTCCAAAGGTTCACATACTTTTTCCTCCCTGCACTGTGAATGTTTACATGTTATGTGCAATTAAACCATGGCAACATCTAATGTTTGTGTAGTATTATGTTCAGCAGACTGTGTTCTTCTATTGTTGTGACTTGGATGACGTTCAGAGCACATTTTATGCCCAATTCATGCAAAACTCCATGTAATCCCAAGGGTTCACATACTTTTTCTTGCAACTGTAAGTAATAAAAAAAATTGCGTGGTGTCCCCCCTCCCATCCATACCAAGCCCTTTGGGTCTGGTATGGATATTAAGGAGGAACTCCACGCCAAAATTTAAAAAAACAGTGGCGTTGAGTCCCCCCCTAAAATCCATACCACACCCTTATCCGAGCATGCAACCCGGCAGGTCAGGAAAGGGGGGGGTGAGCAAGCGCCCCCCCCTCCTGGAACATACCAGGCCACATGCCCTCAACATGGGGGGGTGCTTTGGGGCAGGGGGGTCCCCCCCAAAGCACCTTGTCCCCATGTTGATGGGGACAAGGGCCTCTTCCCCACAACTCTGGCCGGTGGTTGTGGGGGTCTGCGGGGGGGGGGCGTATCAGAATCTGGAAACCCCCTTTAACAAGGGGGGCCCCAGATCCCGCCCCCCCCACGTGAATGAGTCTGCGGTACATGGTACTGCTACTAATTCACAAAAAAAGCAAAAGTGTAGTGTAAAAAAAACACAGTACAGGGTCTTTGACAAGTCCTTTAAA